ATGCGAGAGATGAGAGAGAGGAGGGGGGGAGGAAGGGAGGGAGGGAGAGAGGGAGAGAGAGGATAGAGATAGAGATAGAGATAGAGATAGAGTAGAGATAGAGAGATAGAGAGATAGAGATAGAGAGGGGGGGGGTACCGTGGGGAGCAGCAGAAGCGGCGGGGCCGGAGACAGGGACGCCGCCGCCGCCGCTCACGTGAGTGAGAGGGGAGAGCGAGAGAGAGAGAGAGAGAGAGAGAGAGAGAGAGAGAGGAGAGGAGGAGAGAGAGAGAGAGAGAGAGAGAGAGAGAGGGAGAGGGTAGAGTAGCCCACATGAGCTAGGAAGGGGGCTGATAGAGGTCAAGTGCAGCAGCAGGAGGAAGAGTGGAAAGTCTTTGAACTAATGGTTGGCTGTGCGGCCGAAGATAAGTGGACCTTGAACGGCCGAGAAGTGATAGGTGCAGCTATGGACCCATACGGGAATGCTTTTTATGACGCTTTATTCATTTTTATGCCTTCGTATAAGGCAATACTGCTGCAGCGCATCTTTCACTGGACGATAGGATAGTTTTGTAGTGAAAAGGTTCGATCAATTTATAATATGTAACATGTTCTATGTCAATGTGTAAATGCTGTATGTATCTGTACCCTCAGTCGCTATTGCTAACCACTGTCTTTCTGTGTTTGTGTTCAGCCGGTGCGGGTGCCTCTGGAGTCACCGCCGGCCGCCGCGCCGCGGCCCTATCCCTCTCTGACACCGGAGAGTCTCATGAACAGACATGGGGTCAACAACAAGGCAGCCAGGTCAGTTGGGATGGGGTCAGGTCAGGTCACTAAGGGAGGGATCAGGATGGGGCTCAGAATCAAGTCGGTGATGACAGGTGTCTCTATCTAGGATTGAAAATGATGCTCAGTCCTCAGGGTGGTACTCAGGGCAGATCATGTCACCCAGAGAATCATCTGTGTTTTAGGGGTAACTTGCTTATAGATATATAGTCACGCGCAGGATCAGGACAGCTCTGTTACTGTTTGTAGACAGGGGCCGGACAAAGCCTTGGTTAGATCAGTGGCGTTAATCTTGCAACTAGAAGTTAGGGTCGGTCACTAATCACTATGTTGTAGCGCTAAAGTCAGGCCAATGGTTGGAACACTAATTCAGCTTGCCGTGAACTAACCACCGTCCGTTGCGTCTTCTCCCCTCACGCCCTTCCACGTCTCGTTTTCCGCAGGTTCAAGAACAAGCGCGTGTACCCGTCTGTGCCTAACCAGCCCTCGGAGGCTGGTGCTCACTTTATGTTCGAGCTGGCCAAGAGCGTGCTGGCCAAGGCCGGAGGCAACAGCAGCACCTCGCTGTTCACACAGGTTGGTGAGGGAGAGAGACTGGGAGGTTGGATTGTTAATATAGAAATACCTGGTGTCGTTTAGCAAACACAGTTACGGGATTGATTGGATGTAATTGATGAAAAGATACGTAATAAATGTACTTTGTTGGTTTGTTTGTTTTGACAAATGAATTGAAAGAATATAGAAATGAAATGAACCACCATTTCGGACTTCTCCTAGCTTGTTTTTTGTTTTTGTTTTTAATTTGAGTGCCCATTACGTGATTTTGGGAACAATTGGATGAGGCTAACCAGCTGACTTTTTGTGACCCCTTGGGAGATCACATCTGACCCCCTCCCCTGTGTCCCCTCTGAGAGCAAAAGCGACCACTGCACCCCGTTATAGGCTACCACTGACCCTCCCCCCCCCCCCCCTGCAGCCGTCGGACGCCGGCGCGCACCGCGGCCCGCACCGTGCGCTGCACATGTGCGCCTTCCAGATCGGCCTGTACGCCCTGGGACTGCACAACTGTGTGACGCCCAACTGGCTGAGTCGCACCTACAGCAGCAACGTCAGCTGGGTCACTGGTGAGTAGTGACGTCAGCGTGACGTCAGATCCACGTCAGCTGGGTCACCGGTGAGTGAGTGACGTCAGATACGTCATTAGTCAGAAGTGACGTCACATTGGGTTCACCGGCAATTAATTGACAACGTCAGTTAAATGAACATCAGTATAACGTCAGTTGTGTCACCGGCGAGTGACGTGACGTCAATGCGTCAGCTGGTTCATCGGTGGTTATGTGGTGACGTCAGTACTCCGTAGGGTCACGGGGGAGTGACTTGGGATCACATCGGTGCGATTTAACACCGATAAACACAAATATGGCTTTTGCAAATATTGCCTGCCTTTTGCACTCGGAGATAAAACATGCAGGTGACTGACTCCGCTTCGAAACTAGCTAGCTAAAGCTAGTTTTGTTCGAAACTAGCTAGTGCTAGTTTTCTATTTTTGCCAAAAAAGACCTACCTTTCCAGTGTGAAAAGGCACATGGTACACGTCTATGTGGTAGAAAAAAGGCCCCAGCGGCCAGCATCGATGTGCCAAGCGCCGCACCGCCGTGCGCCGCCGACCCCTGTGCAGCTTAACTATAGCCGTGCTCATGTTGGACGGTTTACCCTAACGTTGCCACTAGCTGCCCATAACCCACACGCATCTATCTGCTAAGCGCCGCCCATCTCCTAACCTAACCTAAGTGTAAGCATATTGGACGGTTTACCCTAACGTGGTCACTAGCTGCCCATAACCCACCTACCTGTCAGTCTATCGAGCTCAGTCACCGACCGAGGCGCCGTATCAGCGAAACCACGCCCACCGACCGACGACCGACTCTGTTCAATTTCATCTGCGCTCCCAGTTGGACGGTTTAGCCTAACGTGGCCACTAGCTGCCCATAACCCGCCCACTGCCGGGCTATTGAGATCTCAGCTCGGAGAATTACTACCCACCGATGCGCCATAGAGCCTTGGATGCGCCTACCAGCTATGCGGAGTTTGTTCCTCAGAAGGTTTATCCTGACGCTGCCACTAGCTGCCCATAACCCACCCACTGGGCTGTGACACTATCAAACGCCGTGAGCGTGACCCCAGGGGCCATGGCGTCACTGGTGGTACTGGTGGCACCCCGCTGCTGCCGATGTCCTTTCGGTGCTGCTGACACATTAGCTGCTCATAACACAGGGGTGGGCCGAGTGTAGGTAATCCTGTCAAACTGCGCCGTGAGGTAAAAAAAATGAATAATATTCTTTCTGTCTTAACTTCCGGCTTTGCAATTCCATTTACTTTTAAGAATATGCTGAAGTACGTATATTTTGAGGCTACTCTTATATTATTTGCATTTTATATTTCGATTCGAGTGTCATTTTTATTTGATTGACAACTCAGTGTTTTGTTGAGTCAGTTCCTAGTCAGTTCGCAGGGCTTGCAGCTGTGTATATGACGCAGCTTTCAGTAGCTGCTCATACTACTGGCTGGTCAGTGGTCAGTGACTAATGGTCACAGCCATATCAGCAGAGACCCATACTGAAGTGCATAGCTGAAGTCCAGTGTTGAGTTTGAGTCACACTGACCAGTTATATCAGCAAAGGCTCATACTAAGGCCTGTGCCGGGTTTGAGGGACACTGGTTTGAGGAACACTGACAGGATAGCCGGTGCTGCAGCACCGGCTATCCTGTGCAGTTGGTTAAAGGGCCTTGGTGCAGTTTTTATTGTGGACAGGGGGGGGGGGGGCGAGAGTTTAAATCGCCCTAGGTCATCCTAGATATTATATTGGGAATCGCACATACACTCATCGATCAGTGAACATACACTTCACCATCGTGGATTTATTTGCAATTGTCGTCCTGCATATTGTCTTAGTTGGCAAACCATACTTTTATATCCAATACGGTCATCTTAATCTGTCCTGGAATCCCTACCCAAACATTTCAGCCAGCAATGGCCTTGCCTCCTCCCCAACATATCCAACCCAACATGGCCTAACACACCCTTTTATAATCACGATCCCTCTTCTCCATGTAACGACCAAACATACCGAAACACACCCCGTTCTAACTCCCCCCCCCCTCTCACCCCCTCCGCAGGTCAGGCAATGGAACTTGGCGCGGTGGCCATCTCCTGCCTGGTGGAGACCTGGGAAGGCCACCTCACGCCTACCGAGGCGGCCCACATTGCCGACTGTGCCAGCCGCAGTCGGGACGGACATGTAGTGCGGGCCGCCGCCGGGCTGACGCTCAGCATCCTGCCGCACGCGCACGCCCTCAACCAGAACGAGATCCAGCGCGCCCTGCTGCAGGTAAACGAGCAGAGTGATGATAGCCGTTGACCTTTGAAACTTCAGGGCTATCTGAAGTGTGGCGGGATAAACGAATGTTGCTGTCAAAAGTAATTTTTTGTTGTTTGTTCCTGAACTTTTAAAAATCGCCCGGATGAAATGAGTTTTTGGCGTTAGGATAATGTGGTCTGTAATGTGGTAATGGTTTGTTACTGATAATCAGGGAGTACCAGCTGAGGTGCTTGGCAATTCTTGTCCTACCTGACCTGACCCGCCCGGCGCCCCGTCCCTTTCAGTGTAAGGAGCATTCCGCTGAGCTGGTCGAGAAGGCCTAACCTGCCTGACGTCCTTGAAAGCTGGCCTCCCCCTATCTCGTGTAAGGAGCAGTCCACGGAGCTGCTCGAGTAGACCTGTTTGGCACTGGAGGGGATAGTCGACTGACCTGACCTGACCTCAGCTCACCTGACCTCCCCCTCTCCAATGCAAGGAACAATCGACGGTGCTGCTGGAGAGGGCTTGTGCTGAACTGACCTGAACTGACCTGACCCGCCCTTACCCCCAGTGTAAGGAGCAGTCCACTGAGCTCCTCGAGAAGGCGTGTCTGGCCGTGGAGGGAGCAGTCCACTGACCTGACCTGACCTCCCCCCCCCCCCCCCCCCCCCAGTGTAAGGAACAGTCGACTGAGCTCCTAGAGAAGGCCTGTCTGGCCGTGGAGGGAGCAGTCGACTGACCTGACCTAACCCCCTCCCCCTTCAGTGCAAAGAGCAGTCGACTGAGCTCCTAGAGAAGGCGTGTCTGGCCGTGGAGAGGGTAGTACACTGACCTGACCCGTCCCCCCCCCCCCCCCCCCTTAGTGTAAGGAGCAGTCTACTGAACTGCTGGAGAAGGCCTGTCTGGCCGTGGAGGGAGCGGCAAAGGGCGGCGGTGTCTACCCAGAGGTGCTGTTCGACATCGCCACCAAGTGGTACCAGCTCTACGAACGGGTGAGTACTGTATCAAACGATAGGGTACTTGGTACTCTGTGCCAACAAGTGGTACACTCGGGGGCAGATTGATGTTCCACCACTCCCTACCAATCGGGCTCCCATGGCTCAGCACTGGCTGCTGTCAGTGGCAGCACTGGCACTGGCAGGCAGTGCTGAGGGCAGGCAACACTGGCAGCAGCCAATGATGAGCCATGGAGCCCGATGGGTAGGGAGTGGTGGAACATCAATCTGCCCCCCGAGTGTACCAGCTCTACGAACGGGTGAGTATGGTCAAAGCTGATTTTTAGCGCTTGCAGTGTGCCACCCAAATCGGCGCCATCTCTGTGAGCGAGACGCATGTTGCCACGTCGAGCCTCGGATGCGGCCTGTCCTTATATTGTTTCCGTCTTGGAGACTTGATGAAAATCACGAACTCAGAGAAAGATTGTCTCAGTGTCTTTTATATTGTGTTACATGAAGCCTTAAAATCGCTTAAAACAAAACGGCCATAACCTCTCTACAGCTAGAACATTTAGCGACATCATATTGAAATTACGGGTCAGGATGGTACCGCAGTCCATAAGTCTCATGCTGCCACAGATCTAACCGCACCCGCCGTATCACTGACCATTTCCATTCCACGCTCCGCCCTCAGACGTCTCCCAAGCAGAGCGCCTCCCACGACAGTGGCGAGGACGTGCCTCTGCTGGAGTCGCCACCGCCTCCACCGCCGCCCCAGCAGCAGCAGCAGCAGCAGGTACAGCAGGTACAGCAGCAGGCGGGCCCGCCGCAGGGAGTCATGGAGCCCACACAGCAGGTCAGTTACGGGGTGCAGAGTGTTAAACACAGTGTCAGTTGCGTGAGAACGCGTGTCTTTATCTCAAGACAAAATATTCACATTTTTATCATTTATTTCCTTGAAATTTTCTCACACATGTAAGCAATTAAATACGCATTTCAAGCAGATATAATATGAAACATTGCATTGCAATCAGTTTGTGGCTCGGATTTACTTTGCCCATATGTCTGTGGTACCCGATGATGCATCTTACCGTGTCTGTATGTCGGTCGCTCCAGCCTGGCCTGCTCCTGAATGTCTGACAGGTTGCGTAGTAGTGACTTTTTGCATCTCCACTCTGGCGGCCGTTCATGTCGTACAGTAAATTTTGTACATGTTCTGACGGTGTCTGTTCCTCCCAGGTTCACCTGAGTGTGGCGGCTGCCGCCCCGTATCCTGTCACGTACAGCTGTCTAACGGCGGGACCCAGCGGCGCACAGGTCAGTACCGCGTACACTGTACAGTATCCTGTACCCTGTACCCGTACCCCGTACCCACCCCGTACCCGCCCCGTACCCCGTCAGGACCCAGCGGCGCACAGGTCAGTACCGCGTACACTGTACCCTGTACCCGCCACGTACTCTGTCATACCCAGCGGCACCCAGATAAAACATGATCTCAATACCTGAGCGAAAAATCGGACTTTTCTCCAGACATGCTGTTGATGTTGATCCGTTGTATTTTTGGTGAATGGCAAAATGTTATCGCCTCGTGCAATATTCGTTGTTTCCCTCTGAGCCCATCTGACCCCTCAGACCCCTCTACCCCTCTCTAACCCCCTACTGACTCCTCTCTAACCCCCTCAATAACCCCCTCTCTATCCCCAGGTGGGCGTGAACCAGCTGTCAGTCCAGATGTTCGTGCCGTACGGTCCTCAACCGCCGGCCCATCCGTTCCCGTCGGCCGCCCTCCAGCTGTATCCGGCAGTCAGCATGCAGTCCATGGTGGCTGCGGCCGGCGGGCTGCCCAGGACACAGCCGTCAGGGCTGCCCGGTATGTAGAGGAAGGGGACTGGGGGTAGACACAGCCTTCAGGGTTGTCCGCGGGTTATAGAGGAGAGGGGACAAGGGGAGGGGCGGCTGTGGCTGACAAACTGCTCACGACACAGCCGTCAGGGCTGCCCGGTGGGTTATAGAGGGAGGGGAGGGGGCGAACTGCCCAGGACACAGCCCTCCGGGCCGCCTGGTAGGTGAAGGGGATGGTAAGGGTCATGGGGCGGCTGTCGCTAGCTCAGTCCTTAGCAGCTGGGCTGACAGGCTGGTCACTGAAGGCATTGGGATGATTTCGAAGGTGATATAGAAAGGTGATTTCGCTGGAGTTTGTGAGGAGTTTCGGGTGGCTTACGTCAGGTGAAAAGGTGGTATGGCTGTCGCTACATATTTTAGTTCGGCGGCGCTTCTGCCTTCTATATGTTGCCATCACGACGTTTGCTTTTCAAAGGCTATACAAATCGTTACGTGTTGCCGCAATATCGTGTTTCAATGAAATGATGTCTGGTTGAACGCGTGTGCCTCTGCTGCTGGTGGTCCGCCGTTCTGACTCTCTGCTCTCCCTGTCTGTCTGTTCGGCAGGCGGCGCGCCGGCGGTGCCCATGTTCTCGCTGCCCCCGCAGCCGCACCCGCACATGGTGATGCTGGCCCAGGGCCCGCCGCCGGCCGCCCACAGTCAGCCGCCCCCGCCCCCGCCCATCATGGTGCCGGTGACGCTGGCGGCGGCGGCGGCGGCCGGCGCGCTGCAGCACCGCCCGCCGCCCCCGCCCCCGCCGCCGCCCGGCGGGCCGCCGGTCACCAGCCAGCCGCCGCCGGCGCCACACCACCAGCAGCACCCGCATATGGTGCCGCCGCCGCAGCACCAGCACCAGCAGCAGCACCAACAGCACCAGCAGCAGCAGCAGCAGCAGCAGGCTCATCACCACCATCACCAGCACCCGCCGCCGCAGCACCCCCTGGCGCAGGTTGGTGCGGCGGGAGAACAGTGCGGGATGGGTGGTCAAAATATGGGATGGGATCTGAGAAGAGTCTTGTTTAGTGTAGACAGGCATATTTTTGGGGGTGATAATTTTGCTAATTTGTGTTCAGTTTTTTCACACTTTTTTCTTATATTTGTGGAGAGGTGAGCTTTTTTTGTAGCCTGTCTGGTACCGTTAGTCGGCGTGCCGTTAAACAGACGTGCTGTTAGTCGCATTATATTCAGACGTGCTGTTAGTCGCTTCATCCCATTATATTCAGCTGTTATCTTTCACCAGTCGCACATGTTTTCTAGCAACATGGCATTTAGTCGACGTTTTAAGACATCTGCATTAACAAGTGCACCCAAAGTCTCTATTTTTAAAGTCACTGCATGTGTCAGGATTCCCCTGTCAGCCGATGTATTGCCAATGTGCCACACCAACCCGTCTAACTCCCCCCTTCCCCTTCCTTCCCTCTTACAGCAGCCGGTGCCTCGTATTCTGGGCTCTCCGCCTCTCAAATACCTCTTCTCCACCTACCGTGTCGGTATGTTGGCGATGGAGACCCTGGCCCGGCGCGTCCATGACGACCGGGCGACCAAGTACAGTCCGACGCCGCCCTATGGGGATGACGTCATGTGGCTCATGAGGGTCGCCATGAAACTGGGTGAGTTTTCCTGGCGGGAAATTGGGGAAGATGGTGCTTCGAAGGAATGGGTGTGAACTGTGAAGGGAGGCAGGCTGGAAAAGTATTTCGAGTTTATTTTTTAGGTCAAAACTCAAACAAAGAATGAAATGTTTCAGACGTTTGTTTGGGTTATTAGAGCAAATATAAACTGAGCCTTTAAAGTCAATAGCCGAGACCATACATAATCTGGGTAATCAATAATGAAATAACTTGTTAATAATTTACTTTCGTAGCTTGTTTACAATAAAAGGCTAATAACAAATAAAGCTCATTGATGTCTTCGCGTTCTGTAGACTGTCCCTTGTCTCTCGTCTGACCATGTTCTACCCCTTTTCTTCCTCTCACAGGCACTCCGTACGTGCACCAGTTTTGTCTGTGCGCCGTCAACTCTGTGGTCTCGCCGTTTGTCCTGTTTGAGATTGCCAGCGACGTGGGCAGCTACTTGAGCCGGCACAACACGGCACCGCCCTACCGGTCTCAGGTGAGTCAAGGGGAGACCTTAGAGGTCACAGGTCAGGGCAGGGGAGACATTATAGGTCGCAGGTCGGCCGTCACAACACAGCGCCGCCCTACCGGTCTCTGGCTAGCAAGGGACCGTAGGTCATATGCTTAGATTAGACTGTGGGCACGAAACGGCGCCGCGCTTTAGGTCCCAGGTCAGTAAGAAGACCCTATGGTTCTCCCAGATCATTGATAAGAAACCAATAGTGTGAATGCTATTTCCAGTCAGTACGAACTCTTTTTTTTTTTTTACTGACCACAGGCTCTCATCTGCCCATCGAACCGTAACCCCTACCCGGCACCCCACTGCAGCATTCACTCCGACGTTTATTTGACGCTTGCGTCCTGACGTGTGCCTCGGCAGATCCTGACGCCGCTGGTGCAGCAGTGCCAGCAGATGTTCCTCTCGTGTATGCACGTGCGCCTGTGTCACGTCACGCCGCCCGAGTATGACGAGTTCGTGGCGATTGTGCGGAAGGCGCGACAGGCGTTCAGCATGACGGCAGGAGGCCCAACTCAGCTGCAGGTACGGGAACGGGAGGGGCTAGGGGAGTGAAACCCTTTGAGGAGGACCGCATCGATGACTGATGAATCGTTAGGGTAGTTGTTTTTTAATAGATTGTCTATATTTGCTAACCTAAAGCTGGTTCCCTGAAAGTGCCTTGTTATGCAGCTATGCAGCTGTTTCAATGCGTATTCAAGACTGTTGAAATCAGCGGAAAACTTCTTTCGTAGGGCGTCGAAATTTTGTGCTCTTCTTGGCATTTAATAATTTCACAAACCAGCCTCGCATATCCCACCGTGCGGTGCCACTGGTTACCGGATGCTCTAGTCTGAATCGCTACTCCCCCTACGTCGACCTTTAGAGCTGACCTTCCTCTCTCCCCCCGCAGGAGTTCCTTCAGGTACACCGGCGAAACAAGCTGGTCAAAAAGGAGCTCTGGCTACGAATCACCATCGCGCTTCAACAGACCGCTGCGTGACGTCAGAGTCACCTAGCGGACGTTTTCCAAAGCTGTAGTTGCTCGTTTTTCTACTGGATGTCGCCACCGCCGCCACCGGTTTCCCATATGTCGCATCTGTATAAACTCATCCGGGCGACGGCTGTCCCCGTGCTGAACTGTGGCGGCCTCCTCCCTCGAACCGGTCCATAATTGTAGTGTAGCTGTCGGAGGGCTGGCGGGGGCTCCCCTGCGCTCTTTCGCCGGCTCTGATCTCGAATCTGAAGATGGTGGTTTCGTCGGCAAAACTCCGCGCATCGGTCTAGCGGTGGACGCGGGAGGCTGGAGTTGGCCCGGTCGCCGCTAGGTGGCAGCAGGCTGCGCCCGGTCCGGAGCTCAGAGGCGATTCTTGCGGGCGTATTTGATTGGATGGAATTATCGCGTGGTAGTCTATGGATATTTGAAGAGATGGGCGAGGGTGTTTGACTTCTTCCCTAGCCGGTGCGACTCTGGCTTTGGAAAGGACAAGCTGTGGCTTCGGCCGGCGTGTTCTTCCTTGGTTGGATTCTTGCCGGCTGCGACGGGATGAGAACATTCAGTACGCACGCGCTAAGTGTGTTCGTGTCTGTCCGTTTTATATTTTAAATACTATCTTAGTCGTATCGTTTGAATTCGTGGTAATTAGATGTAGATCTGTGCATGTGTGGGCGATACTGACATCTATCGGCGGCGGCTGGTAACTGAAGTTCTCACCGCCGCCGAAAGGTGGCAGCACCGCGGGGGACAAAGTTCTCGCGCGTGTTTGAATTTTACCGAGTGTAAGGCGCAGGGCGGACGGCTCGTTTGACGTGACACTGTTCTTGAGGCGCGTCTGAGGCGAGCAGTGACGCGCTGGGACACACTGCGCCGCGAATGGCTCTTGTTTGAGTGGTTTTACGGCCTTGTCTTCGTTGGGGAGTGTCTGGACATTGTCTGGAAGTCACCGTCTCGGTCCTGTTCTGGGCGCTATCCATCGTGGAGGTTGTTTGACCACTAACCAGCGCGTGCTCGCCCTGTGGCCGCCTTCAGGACAGTTTTTTGCCGTCCGTTCCATTCGGCACTACCTCCTCCGTCAGAAGTTGTGTTTATCGTTCGCGTTTAGTTGAATTGGTTTGAATTTATTGGATTTATTTCGGCCTTAGGTCGTACAGAGTCGCGTGTGGCGTAGCCAGGTTTTTTGTTGCTGTTCAGTTGCGTTTTGCTTGTGTTTTGTCCTGTTTTGCGTGTCTGTGCTCAAGAATGATGTGTTCAGAAATGTCACGATCAGGAGTGCACCGGGCCCGTCTCATGAACCACGATCGAGAAATATACAGTCACTAGAGCCATGATCGCATGATCATTCAAATCATCCAGCCACCATGATCTCCACATTCTGCACGTAGCCTCCAATCACCGCATGCCTTGTTCACTCGCGTAGTTTCATCGATCGTGCTCTATGAGACGGGCCACTGGTAGCTGCGGCGGTTAGCTTGGTTCGTTCGCTGTATGGGGAGAAAGAGGACGGAGAATGCGGCGGCTGCGACCGCTGGGCCCTGTCGGTAGAAACGCGAATGGTTCCACGCTGGAGAGGCTAGCTGATATGCTGAGATTGGTGTGTGCGTCCTTCCGTTAGATCCCGATATCCAGTCCATGGATATCGTTCCAATTCAGTCTCCAGTCCATGGTCCGCCTGTGTCTCTGGAAGGTTCCATCAGCTCTGTCCGGCCATCTCCGTCCAGTAAACCACTGCGTCACTGATTCCACTGCTGTCCAGTTCAGTGCATCAATCCACAGACAGGCTTCCAACCGCAGATCCGATCGCCTTGTCTTCCCGCCGCTCTCTCCATACTCACACCCTCTCTCCACCCGGCTCCAGCTGCGCTCCTGAGCTGATCTTCCTCCCACCCTCTCCCCGTCGCTCCCGGCCTCTTTCCTGACGCAACTCTACCTCAAATCTCGGCCGATGATGTTGGCGATTCTGCTGACATCTTCCGGAGGCCGCGCTAACTAGAAGTGTGCACGGACGCCGATAGGTGGCGGGTGCGCAGAGCTATCGCCCTGACATCTGGCGGTGGTATTTCGCGGTGAAATGTGTGCGTGTGTGTTTGCCTACTATTTCCCACGCCTTGGCTGCTCGACTTGTCGTTTCATCCATGGGACAACAAAGGCCTATGTTGGTCACTACTGATGACAACATAAGTCCTTGCCCGCGGCTGAGCCTCCCCCGGGTTGCCACGGCGCGGCAGAGTTAGTGTTCCAGAGTCCCCATCTAGCGGCGGTTTTATCAATGTGTGTTTCACGCGGCGGCCGATAGGCGACGCTTCGGGCGCAGTCGACCTCTCATCACCTGAAGCTCCGCTGCGCCCGTCACACACCCGTGACCCCAAAAGGTCACGCGGAGGGTGACCCCGCGGCCGTGGTCGGGTGTTGCGAGGTCCCCCGCCCGAGGCGCCGCCCCTGGCCCCGCCAGAGATCGTAGTGTGCGGAGGTGTTCTTTGTAGTGTGTTGACCGCGCCGCGGATGTGAGGCGGTCGCTGTTCGGTGGCTCGAGACTGGAGCGCAGTGGAAATACAGACGGAATGTCTGGAACGCTGGGTGTGTGTTCGGTGGTCAGAGGCATGACGTCATGACAGGGATGATCACTGATCAGGTTGACGGGTGACGCTAGAACCATGGTGACTGTGGGCACGAAAGACACGTTGAACGTTGGATTGGTGGACCTTGGATGGATCTCCCTTTCAGGTAAGGTTGTACCTACCGGGGAGAACGAACAGAAAATGCACGTAACAAATAAGTCAATATTCAGATCAATAGTGAATTCATTTGTTGTGTTTTTTTATACATCTTTTGTGAAAGAGACGGACGTTGCCACTTCAAGCCAAAGTCCTGGCCCGTGGGAGGATTGAACGTTACTACGCCTATGATCCTCCTCTCCAGGGTCGCTGTGGCTTGAAAAGCCGGGATCCCGAGTGAGTGCTGCTGCGTGGGCAAGTTGAAATTGGTCCGACCTGAATACTCGGCAGAAAAGGCAGTAGGTGAACTTACGTTTTAACCCGGCAGGCGGTGGGCCTCCCAGCCACCTTCCGCGCGGTGGGGGGGGGGGATTTTTTGCCCCCCCCCCCGTATCTCCGAAACTACTGGACGTATCCGGAAAATTCAAACGGCGTTCGATAGCCCTGTCAAATTTGTTGAGGGAAACCAAATTTCATTGACCTCGGGGTCACCGATGACGTCACAGGTCAGGTCAAAGATAAAATGTTTCACCGTTCACGGGGCTTCTAGGGAAAGCGCTATAACACCGAGTAAAACGCATTTTGTCGAAAATCAGCGATAAGGCGTCAGTTGTCTAGTACATATGTTGTTATTAGAGGTCACTGGTCATACCAGGTCAGGTCACAGGTCAGGTCACCAAAGGTCACCAAGGGTCACCACATGAGCCCAACTTTACTAAGGTTATGCATGCGATGCATGTTTTATGGCCAGTTTTTCATTTCCAACTCAATGGTGTTGGTTATAAGACCATCAGGTACGGTTTAGGTCACTTTCTGGTGGAGGTCAGGTCAAAAAAGGTCAAATTTCAAAGTTGATATTTTTGCATAAAATGGGTATCGATTCGATGCAGCTCGTCACGGGGAGTCTAATGGTGGTCTTTGTTTTGCGCTACGAGGTCTAGAATTGCTAAAAATTGAGTTTGAAAATTTGACGTCATCAATTTTGAACAGTTTTTTCGCTATAACTTGGCCAGAAAAAGAGGTATCGATCTCAAATTTGGTATGTAGATAGAAGGCGGTAGGGGCTATCACATATGTTCTGGTTTTTTCGAAATTCAAAAAACTTTTTGGATTTTTTGGCTATTATATTCAAAAAATCTATTTTTTGATTTTTGGGGGTCAAAATCCAAAAAATTCGAAAAACCGAAATAGCAGTTTTGTAGCCCTCTTAATTCCACACCTTTTATGTCTGAAATATTTTTCTGTATCTCTAAAGCTGTAGGCCTGACAGCTCTTCCCGCGAAACCTTTTTTTTTTTTTGGTCGAAAATGGCAAAAATGACGTCACTCTGACGTCATTAGCGGCCAACCTATCATGTCCTTTGGAAAAATTTTTAGTCACCATGTGCGCTAGCTGCTCCCGGGAGGGTACTGAAAGTTTGGTGACGATCGGCGCAGCGGTTCTCGAGATATATCGAAAAAACTAAAGGGGGGGGGCAAAAAAATGCCCCCCCCCACCGCCTGGAAGGTTAACTTCTATAATTCATACCGATGGTGCTCAACGGCGGGGTTCCGGTTATTGAATAATATAGTCGGTCTTGAACCGTCTTCGGCTAGACCCAACATAATATGCGTTTTTTTTCTCTCTCTCCCTCTCTCTCTCTCTCTCTCTCTCTCTCTCTCTCTCCACGTGCCCTCTACCCCACCCTCCCCTCCTCTTTCTTCTCCGTCCTCTCTCACTCTCTCTCCCTCTCCCCCTCTCTCTCTCTCTCCACGTGCTCTTTACCCCACCCTCCCCTCCTCTTTCTCCCTCCTCCCCTCCTCCCTCTCTCTCCCGCTCTCCCGACCGTCACTTGGACCCCCCACCGAGGTCCATATTACCCGAACTGAGCGTGAAACAATCATACTGCCCCTGTCGCCATTATAACGCACTTAGCTGCCCTGCCGGTCCGTCCTGCGTCCGTGGGGATATCCCATAGTAATGCACGTGTTGGTGCGTTCTGAAGGCCTTGGAGCGTACTGCAGTGCTGATAGCTTGTGTTGAGCAAGGTTGAATGGGTCTCGGATGCTTGTTACGAGCTTCTCTGAGTCACGTCTTTGCCTCTACTTCGTTTGTGGTATATTTACTAAGACTTATGTATTTCTATACAACGCACTTCTTGAGCACCGCATTGACGAGAGTCTAAAAGCCTGCTAATACTTGTCCAGAATTGGAGGATCAAAAGCATGCGATAGCATGCTTTTGCATCCGGAAATTCCCATTGGGTCGCTGAAAAAAAGTTCGGCCGAGCCTGTTTGTCAGTATGTATGTATGTGAGTTTGTCCAAGCTTTTTTGGACCTGGAGTCAAAATGGGTGGACCGATCGGGACGAAAGTGGGACCGTTTGATTCGTCTCCGGCGAGGTAAACTTTTGGTGCTGGCCTCGGTTCGCTCGGTGCTTCGTGGCACATGCTATTCCGCTTCAAAGTTTCGGTGACACGAATTTTTTTGTCAAGGCTACAGGTCAACCCGAGGTCACGGGCAAAGCCATACTGGCGGGACACATCGGTAACACCTTGAACCAGTTTCCAGGGGGTCACCGTCTGCGAGGGGTGCAGGCTGCACGTGCTGGGGTCGGAAAACCGTTTTGACGTGAGGTCCTCTAGCTCAAAGAAATTTTAAGCTATCAACCTCAAAATCGGTTCAATGGTAGTCCCAGGCAAGGCCTCCAAAATAATGCACATTTGGTTGAGCTAAACTCTGTGGTGCATGAGCTATGCACGTGCAAGCCGATTGCACCCCTTCGTACGTTGCCACGCCTGCAGGGTAAACGGCAGCTCTAACTGGTTCAAAACTTGCAGGTCATAAGAAGAATACATTTGATCACGACATTCCGGCGAGATAATATCCGAGGGGTGCAAGCTGCGCGTGCGGGGGGCGGATAACGGTTTTGGCGAGGGATCCTCTGATCCCGGGAAACGTCGATCTAGCGACACAAAAGTCGGTACACTGATAGAACTAGACACACGCTACATGATGTTATGAAAATGACTGCACTAGGGTGCCTGGGACATGAACTATGCACGTGCAGTTAATTCATATCTTACTGTAGGTAGATCTCCACATGAATCTCACGTGCTTTCAAGCATTTCATGGATGTTTCAACCAGCCCCCACCAAATCTTCATCTGGCATCGGCATTTTGCTACTGATGACGCCATTCCTAGCAACCGAGCGTCCCTAGCAACCGAAAGTGAAGACGTTGCACCTTCAACAAACGATCGTCAGCTAATTTCGTCAGCAACAAAGAAATGAAATTTATGAATGTTATGTTGTGAAAATAACTTATGATAATAATTAAATCATGATCGTTAATGATAAAATCCATACTTAGTAAAGCTTACGATACATCAAATTCGTCATGTGTGCAAAAATGTCTGACCCCAGGTCACTTATGGTCAGGTCACCAGGCAAAGTAAAGTGACCATGTATCTAAGAACTTTGTGATTCAGTCATTCCTACATTATACATTCCAGGCGGCGGAACGGGGGGGGCACCGGGGCACCGTGCCCCCCCCCCTTGAATTCTGCAAGGGGGGCACCAATAGCAAGGTGCCCCCCCTTAAATTTGATGTATTAGTACCAGGGGCGGATTCGGGAAAACTCCAAGGGGAGGGTCATGAATCGAAGTGGTGCCCCTACCTATGCCCAAAATTAAAACCTCAACGGATTTCGGCCACTTAATTTTGGTGGTGCCCTATTTTCAGTTTTTATTTTCTTTATTATTGGTTAGTCGTGTGATGACTGGTGCCCCTGCTAGGCCGCTGGTGCCCCTGGAAAGACTGTGGTACCTACCTACCCTGCCCCCTGACAAGCCTACGGTGGGCCCTGACATGACTTAGGTGCCCATGGGCCCTGACAGGCCCGTGGTGCCCCTGACAGGCCTGTGGTGTCCCTGGGTCTTGGCAGGTTTGTGGTGCCCCTGTTAGAACGCAGGTGCCCTTGACAGGTTTGTGGTGCCTCTGACAATCCTAAATTGCCAACGACAGGCTTGTGGTGCCCTTGACAGGCCCATGGTGCCCTTGCGAGGCCGGTGGTTCCCCTGCGAAGCCGATAGTGCCCCTGGCAGGCCTCTGGTGCCCCTGGCAGGTCTGTGGTGCCCCTGGAAGACCTGTAGTGCTTTTGCTAGGCCGATGGTGCTCCTGACAGGCCTGTGGTGCCACTGACAGGCCCGTGGTGCCCCTGCTAGGCCTTTGGCACCCCTGGCGGGCCTGTGGTGCCCCTGTCGGCTGCTGTCAGGCCTGTGGTGCTCCTGGCAGGCATGTGGTGACCCCAGGCCCTAAGTCATGACCCATGTGACCTCCACCCTGGGTTTCGCCACTGATTAGTACTGCGATGGCTTCTTGGGAATTATACATGTAGGATAAGTACTTGAGGATCAGCTTAAAGTTAACCACACATACGGGCAGGGGTGTAATTTTCCTAAAATGATTGTGGGTGCCCAGCTGTAGGGGCGCCCGGCGCCAGGCCGTTTTGGGGCGCGATAGATAGGTATCCTTTATGTGGCAGCCTAAATTAACACCGAATTTGATAACATTGCTAGCCGAATGGCGCTTCAAGTGACGTGTCTGACTAAGCAAATACACGCTTAAAAGTGGAAACCGACCGGAAGGACGTAAAAAATATGTAGAGAGGCGCCATCCAGTAGGAGGGGCACCAAATGTGGAGGCACCACACGGTTACGACTTACGAGGGCGCCGTGAGACGATGAAAAGGGCGCCATTCTCTTAGGAGGGCGCCGAGTGATTGAAAACGCTATGTGGTCCAGAGGCGCTAAGAGGCCAGAAGGGCGCCGCACAGTCAGTAGTGCTACGTTGGTGGGTTAGGTTAGGCTAGGTTAG